GACTCGATAATATTTTTACCAGATTTGTGGACAAAAATGGATGAAATCTGGCTCCTTGGCCTTCCAAAATTCGAAAAATTTTCGCCTGCGGCGCTGAAAAAGGAAGAAGTTTGGTCCTTAGCCTTCCGAATATCTCAAAATTTTTGCCTGCGGCGCTGAAATGAAGGATTTTTAGCTCCCTTTGCTTCACATCTCGAACTTACTGGCTTTAATTGATGAGCTGGATTACTTGGAGTTATGGTATATATTCCGCGGGATCCCGTCATAATTTGAACTTTTGAAACTCAATCAGTTTTGAGAGTCCACAATTTTCCGCAGTTCTAGCAGCCCCACTGGACACGCCCTTGGATTAAGTGTACGATGAATTTATTAAGTGTACGAGGATCAAGGATACGAGGAATTTTAGCATACAGCGGGATTTTATTAAGGGATTTGGTGATTAACGCACGATATCCCCGATATCCCTTCAAATCTCCTCATTCCTTCTAAATCCCATTACAATATATCACCTTAATCATCTGATATACGATCCTGAACCCCTTAATCATCTGATCTCCTTTAGTAAAACCAAATCTAGCAATATCTCACCCCAATCCTCCGATAATTTAAATCACCTTAATCCCTCAAATCCACTGATATCCATTTCAATTCTCTTCAGCCATTCCTTTATCCTCCTGATCCATCGATATACCTTTTAATTCACAGATATCCCTCCAAATCCACTAATTATTTTTAAATAAATCTTTTAAAAAAAGACTCGAAAATGTCTCGGTGCCCGACTCGATAAAGTCAGGCCCGAAAGTGACTCGTACCGGCCCGACTCGATAAATTTGGGCCCGAAAAAGACTCGTATCGGCCCGACTCGATAAAGTTAGGCCCGAAAAAGACTCGTACCGGCCCGACTCGATAAAAACAAGCCCGAAAAAAAATGCCTCGACCGTCGGCCCGACTCGAAAACGGCAACCCTAATCTGAATATAAGCTGAAAAAGCGTTATCAGGTAAATTATAAAGTTTGGTAGGGATTTGGGTTGGATAACGATTCCCTATATTTGAAAATTTTTGCTTAGACATTAATGTGAATATTGACGAATTTATTTGAGATTAAGCTGTATAGTATCAAGAGATTAAAAGGTGAAAAGTTACATGGAAGAAGTAGGGTTTCGGTGGGTAGAAGTTCATCATTCCGATAGGTGAGTAGGACTTAATGTGGAGATAGTTCCAGTAGTTTTAGGAAAATAAAATTGAGTAAAATATATTTGAATTTTCGATAATAAAAAATTTTTCTAAAGCAACTTCAATTTTTAAAGTATTTGGAAAACATGCGCAGCGCATTACAATTGGCTCCAACAATTCTGGCATATTTCGTTGCGGGTGTTTCGACAGCATTTTCGCAAACATTTTATTCAATTATTTTTGAAGCAGATGACTTTACATGTGAAATAATTGTTAGTTTATTATCAAATAATGAATAACTCTCGTAATACCATATAGGTTAGGTATAACAGGATTATATATTCACAAGATAAGACCGCGGAATTAAGGAGCAAAACAGCAATTGGAATAAACGTCATAAATCTCCCACTATCATGATTTGCATGAGTGTTGTCTTGGGCTTCCGGGAATTTCCAAGGTCGACAAGAATTGCTGCCAAGGTATCCAAGAAGAAGGTTCGAATATATCTAAAGAAAGATTTGAAGTTGGATCAGGAGATCAGAAGATAGATCATATAGTATGATCAAATCAAATTAGAAAAAACTGCTTTATAGACGTGTCAAATGTTATCCTACATTGTGAAGCAGTTCATTTCAGTCCCGGCTCAGTTCAGTCCCGAGCTATAACTCGTAAAGGGATGGCCACATTTTCATGTTTTTGGTACCATTGGACATCATTTGAAAAAATTAGAATTTTCGGCTGATTGACAAACAATTATTATCTAAAAACCAACTTTTTCAAAAAACGTGATTTTTTGGAAATTTCGATCATAACTTTTTTAACCAGTTATTCAATGGTACCAAGAACATAAAAAATCATCAACCTCTTGCTAAGTTATGTGTTTGGTATTTATAAAAATGTACGAGTTATCTCTGCATAGATAATAATAGATAATTCATAACTATGCAGAATCCGAGTTATTTCTGTATAGTTATGAAAAAATATATCGGAAATACATATGTATATGAAATCAGCAAAAATAATAATGTAAATAATTTTAGTCACAATTGAACAATTTGTTTATTGCGTTTATTAACTTTTTAATAATTTCTACAACAATTTTGTAAGCTAAAAATATTTTTTATTCTATTATTAAATCTAATCTTTTTAGTTTTCATAAAATTCTAAGAAAGAATTTCTTCAAAATTTTTAACCAATTATTTTTTTGTGCTCCAAAAATAAATAAATCTCTGGAGAAGAGTACAATAAATAAAATTACTCCAACTGTGGCACAACAACTAACTGAAAAATATTTTGCAATGTTGAAAGGGACTTGGGATTAATAATTATAAAATTTATAAAAATATTTTTTGATTTAAATAATCATGTAAATTTAATTTAATAACTTTTATATAAAACTAGGGTTGCGCGAGATCGAGGTTTTTCGAAAAAATCGAGATCGAAGATCACCTAGGTCAAAATTGAGGCGAGGTCCGAGATCGAGGTTTGAGGATACCCGAGGTTTCTAAAAAATTTTATCTTTTGAAATTAAAATTGCTAAATTTATCGTATATCGTTGAATAATTGAAATGTGGTCGAATTATTGTGAAAATAAATGCGGTTTTAAAAGTTCTTTGAAAAATAAAATGATTCGTTTTGCTTCGTTTAGTAAAATTTTGGTTGTTTTGTCTCATTTTTTTAACGAAACGATTTTAAAAAAAAATTTGTTTCGTTTTGTTCTGTTCGAAAAAATTCGCCCAAGTCTGGTTCCGACTCGTATTTTAGCCAGCTTTTTGCTACAACATCTTAACCAGATCGAATTTAACAAACTATTTTTAAAACTTATTATTTATTAATCTTTCAAAAATTTTTCAACATTAAATTTGTTACAATCCTTATCATTCCAAAATTTATTTAAATCAACTATATTCTTTGATTTTTTCTCAAATTGTTTAGTAGCATATTCACATATTTTACATATTGGAGAATAATCATGGCCAAATCTTCTTTTTGTATATGTTTTTGTCCATTCAAAGTGTCTATATTTAAAAATATTAAAATGTACAAGATATCCCTTGTCCATTTTCGTATCCGAAATCTGGCACTTAAATGATATCCTGGTTCATATATATTAGTTGCGGACATAGTGGCCGTTAACAATTAGTGGTCGTTTTTTATATTAAATTTTTAGCTGTGTTGTTTTACAAATATTCTTTTTTCTTTTTAATCATCATAAAGTTCAGAGTCTACTCTTCATTTTAATACTAAGTATAGCTATATACGGTTGAGTTATGATTTTCTGAACTTCACTACCTCCTAGTCAAATTCACAAGCATTTACACCATAAATTTTAAATTACCGAAAATGCAACACAAGAAGCAAAAAATCTTAATGATCTATTGAATGGGATCGTTGTCTATACTAGACAGCAAGTATAGGGTTCAGGCTTTACGATTGAGGCCGTATGACTCTCAGCAGCAAACATGGTCAAGGGAGACGACTGTAATTAAGCATAACGGTCCTGCTCGGCCGGTTTAGATTAAATCCCGATATTTCTACTACTTATTTGTCGAGGGTAGAATAAATAATTTATCATATTTTGTTAGTATGTATTACCCAACCCTTAAAAGATAAATTTTTAAAATTTACTTTAAATATCTTTCGGTATCATTTTGTAAAGCCTTTAGATGCGCAACAAATTCATTCACTGATTTAAAATCATCCAAAGCAATAAATGCGCTAGAAGGAACATCCATTCCTTCAAAAACAGATCTACTAAAAACTACAGGTACAGTAAGTGATCTTAACGAATTCCAAAATTTTTCTGTTACATAATTGTGACAAATGTTATTCTCCAATGCCAAATAAAACATGTGGGTTTCTAAAAATTATTTATTATACCTACATAAGTTTACGTTAAAATTCTAGCTTGAATTTGGATCTTACTAGAGTTGGACAAGCCGAGACCGATACCGAGACCGATACCGAGATTCTCGGCTTTTTTCCAATATCGGTCTCGGTTTTTTCATTCTCGGTCTCGAAACCGATACCGATATTCTCGGTGCATTTCTCGGCGAGAAACGATACTGACTCAAAGACCCCAATTTTCTTGTATTTTTTAATAAAACTGAGGATTTTTGACCTTTGGCCTTCTGAATTACAAAAAATTTTCGCCTGCGGCGCTAAAAAGAGTGAATCCTTCTTTATTTGCCTTACAAAATCCGAGCATTTATCTAAGCCCTCACGATTGAGTTTGTACGACTCTTTTATCTAGCTCAATTGAGTCCCAGTAATTTAATAAAATTAAAAGGCTTAAATACAATACTGGGTTGTTTGGAGGGATTTGAGTGTTTATGGGGATATCAATGGATTTGGAGGGATATCGAATGTAAGGCGGTGGGATATCGAATGTAATCGAATGTAATATACTTTTGTAACAGAGTGTATAATCCTTTTACCTATAAATCTTACTAATGTATTTTTTATAAAAAGGATGTTAGCCATCAATCGAATCGGATCCAGATGATTAAGAGTTTATCTGATGATTTGGATGATAACAATAATGAATAAATTATTTTTACACGTATTTTTTGGCGTAAAATAAAATTTTCTGTTAGTCTCGGTCAGTATCGTTTCTCGGTATCGGTCTCGGCTCAAAATGATGGTATCGGTTTCGGTATCGGGTTCTTGAGTATCGGTCAGTCTCGGTCTCGGGTTGGCCGATACCAGTATCGTTTTGTCCAACTCTAGATCTTACACTTATGATAATATTTAGAGTTAGACCATATATGTATAAATACATTTTGGGATCATTCAATAGAGATGAATTCGGCCTGCAAATTCGGTATCAAATGTCTCGTTGCCTTTTTAAATCAAATTTAATTTTACCTAAATTACTGTTATAGCATTCATCATTGCACCCTCTTCTACCATAACACACACCAACAACCTCCAAACCTATTAATTTTTGCAGTTTTCTTGAAATAAGATCACGACCAGATTCAGAATTACAATGAGATATTGCTTGGAAAGCTAATTTTGTTTTGTTCTTAACTGTTGCCAGAACCTTTAATTTAAAACATCCTCATATTTGAGTCACAATTATGTAATTTTTCTAATCAAACGTGGAGTAGATACCTAGGCGATTCCCTCTAATGATACACCATCATAATTTTTCTGCACCGTTTGTATTTTAGTTACCTCTTTTTGATCCCAAATATATTCTTTTGGAGTAGTTGGAGTAATTCTGGTTAAAACATCATAAGGCATAAATACAGAACTATCTAAACGATAAGTTGCTGTACTATTAAAAAATTTGTCTGTTAGAAATTTTCTGTCATAATATTTCAAGGTAGTCTGTATAGGAGATTCAACTGTAAACATCATATAATTTTGATCTTCTCTACGATTTTGAGGCCATGAATTTATTGCACAGAATGTATGGAGCAAGAAAATCGTTGTTGACGCGTTTGTCTCACTTAATAAAATTATATTTATTTGTAATCACTAGGTTTGTTCAAGACTTTTGGTTTTAAGTTTTGGAAAATCAATCTTGGATAGCTCTAGTAATCATAAAATAATATTTAATTGCATAATTATTAGGGTTTCACCGGAAGTTCCGGTTCCGGTTCCGGTTCCGGAAAGTTCCGGTGTTTTTTTGGTTCCGGTTCCGGTTCCGGGAACCGGAACTCAAATTGGTTCCGGTTCCGGCTCCGGTTTTCAAATCGGTTCCGGGCAAACCGGAACTTTTTTACACCCCTAAAGATTGATTTTTTTAGAAAAATTAATAAACTACTCGTACTCTCATGCTTGTGTATTAAAAAAATATAAAGAAATATGTTTATTTTCTGTCAATTGACCTAATATAAGCGGGTGGCCGAGTGGTTAAGGTGTTAGACTTCACCCCTGGCGTGAATGATTTAAAGATGGGTTCGCTTCCGAGGCATACGACAATTAATTTGCATGTTTTTCTTTCCTTAAAAACTTATTTTATAAGTTTATAATTTTGTTTTTAAAATTATTTTATTTTTACATGGAGTAATTGTGGTTTTTGGCCCTCTAAATTTCTTTAAATTTTTAGTTTGACTTATAAATAGTGAATTTTTTTGCTTATGGCCTTCATAAATTTTCAAAAATTTCGCCTGCGGCGCTGAAAAGGGAAGAAATTTGGCTTCTTGTCCTCACAGACTCTCAAAATCTTTCGCCTGCGGCGCTTAAAAAGAAGTTGAATGTTATATCGGAGGATTTGGATGGATTAATTTGGATTTTGAGTTATATCATGATTTCAAACGGTCATAGGTAATATCGTGGATTTGGGTGTGATATCGAGAAATTGAGTAGGTAGATATGGGATTTTCTTGCAATTCAGAACATTTTTATCGCCCGATATCAAACAGTTATATCCGACAAATCCGTTTATACATCACTCTCTAATCCATGTATATCACTAAACGACGACAAATTTTCGGCTCGGTTTTGGTTAACCAAGTTTCTATTCGGTTAGACGGTTCGGTTTCGGTTAACCGAAAAATTTGGTGAAACCTACAACCCAAATCAAAATGCAAATTTTTTAAAATTTGCTAGCAAAATAAAATTTTTTTAAAGTTCCGGTTCCGGTTCCGGTTCCGGGCCGGAACTTAGAAAAGTTCCGGTTCCGGTTCCGGTCAAAATTTCGGTTCCGGTGAAACACTAATAATTATCAATTTATCAAACGTATAATACAAAAGACCAAAAATCATAGAGAATTCACGAGTTTATTTTCATGTAACTGGAAGAGCTCCACGATAGGGACCTAATAGGACTAACCTCAGGGACTAATAGGACTAACCTAATAGGACTAACCCTTTCTATCAAATTATAGGACTAACCTAATAGGACTAACCCTTTCTATCAAATTTATAATACAAAATTGTGTTTGTATCATCTCTTGATCATCTTTGTATCATTATAGGACTAACCTAATAGGACTAACCCTTTCTATCAAATTTATAATACAAAATTGTGTTTGTATCATCTCAAACTAAAGGATATCTTAAAACCGCCGCATTTACTCATAAGGCTTCATACTCATTTAAAGTAAGGTAACATCTGTAAAAATACTTTCCCCTTTCTTAGGGAAAACTATTTCACCTTCCTATTCTTTAATAGGGAATTAAAATATCTTAAATTAATTATTCCCTCGGAATAATTAACTAGATAAAACAAATTAAATAAATAAACACAAACACAACTAAAATTCTTTATCTTCAAACAAAATAAATATTCACACAGAATATTAAAAAAAATGAATATCTCAAAAGACATTGAAAAGTGAAATTTCTGCCTACTTTTTATAGGCAAAAATTTCTATATAAAAATGATGCAATGTTAAGTACATTGCAAAAAAGTACATAAAAAATTGTCAAAAATGGAAAGTGACTCACTGAGTCACCTCCAAAAATAATAAACAAAATAAAAAATATCAAAAATATTTCAAATCTTTAATTCTTCAATTTCGTCATCGACACTCCCCGCACAGAAATCCTCTCATCTCTCCATATTCTCAGTAGTTGCATTGAAGAAGAGAGTTGCACATTGATGCGACATATTGGCAAGTTCGTGTGATGATAATTGAAGAGCGCTTGAGTTTGTAGAAGAATTTGTTTTTAGCAATGACTTTGGTGAGGTGCTCTTGTCATTGCCTTTAATTGGACAATTATTTGTTGTATGTCCGAATGTGTGATGAGAAGAATACTTTTTCTTTTTGTGTCGCATTGAAGTTTTATTAATTAATTCTTTTACTTGTTGAGTCTTTATTGTTGGAGCAGAAGCAGTAGTTGAAATTAGAGATGAGGGGAAGTCCTGCGAGATAGTCCGAATGACCTGAAATTGCTTGATATGGTTTCTTTTTCTCTTTTCAACGGGAGATCTTTCCTCCTTTTTGCTATTCAGAATTGTCTCTCCTCGAAAACCTGGACAATCTATTTCATTTTCTCTAATTTCTTTTATCTGTACTTTATTCTTTTCAGGTATAGCCACACAGGCTTCTATCATTATATTAACATAATTATAGTTAATTAAATTTCTTTCAGTTTCTAATCTTTCTACACATGAAGAATGTGTACCTCCCGCCAACATTGTAATTATAAGTGCTGACGCGGCGAGTTTGTATCCGCGAAACAATGGATTATATTTAAAAAATAACTTTAACGCAATAGTTATCAATACAGACGATAAAATAATCATAAATATCATTTGTATACTAATCAATTCAAAGAGTATGTTTTTCCAATCAAGAAATTGCAAACTTGCAAATGGATTCGTCAACCAATTGTTTTCACTATTTTCTATGAATATTTTAGATGATCCTTCTTTTACTATAACCTTTGCCTTTTCTGGTAAAATAAATTCTAATTGTCCTTTTAATGTGAAATTTGTAATTCCTCCCGAACAATAGACATTACAAATCTCATTTATCTCCGAATGATCAAACGAAAGTGCAATTTTTTGATCAATCCCTTTTTCATTACATTTCGCTGTAAAGATATTGCCTCCGGGGCATTTTATCTCAGCGTAAGCCGATCCATATTCGGCGGAACAATTAAATTTAAAAACAGCTCCCATACAGCTGTAACATCCTCTTAAATATTCAGGATTTATTTTACAAATTGTAATATCGATATTGCTAGAAATTAGCCAATCTTCAAACCTTATCATTAACATGATTGGTAAATAGTTAGATTCACTAATAATCATGTTTTCCTTTTTTCTTAATCTTATACGATTTATCTCCAATGGTAATGATTTGCGTGGGTCTTTTATTAATTTTTCAATAATAAAGTCCGAACATGCGCATTGTATTTTCTCAATATCTTGTTCTAACCAGCATTCTTTACATGCATTAATTTCTAATTCACATTTTGAAAAATTTCCAGCATTTTCATAGCACTCTAGATAAGAATTACTATTTTCTGAAATTACAATTCCTCCCTCTCCAATGATAAATTCACTGTTTAAAACTGATGCCATTGGAGGTGTAACATCTAATAATGTAAATTTTATATCTTTCCATTTAAAAGTCATTCCTGGATTTAGCGTAAATCTCTTTTTTGTCATATTTCCATTCAAAACAAGTCCTATGTCTACTTCAATACTATAATCCCAAGTAGGACAGGACACAAGTTTGAAAATCTCATCTGACTTTGGGATGGCATATACTCTATAAAAATAGCAGTCTGCTCCAGGCAGTGAACAGCCATATCCCCAAAGTGATTTTCCTTCAATACAAAACGAATTACCAGGATAATCATTCCATTCTGATAATTCTTCAACATAATCTTTAGTTCTAATGTGATTGCATCTTCCAGCTTTACATGTTCCCGCGGCTGGGCATCTTTTGATTGACTGAACTTTTACCTCATATGATCTCAAATATCTAAGTATTTTCTGATTGCATTGGATTTGTAATCCATGCATTGACAATTCTAGCTCTCCCATTATTATTCCTTTATTATTCTTTAACGAGAGCGAATTTATTTGCTCATTTGGCAAAAAAGTCACAGTATTTACGGCGTTCATTTTGCAAGTAGAAATACCTGCTTTTCTTAGACAATCTTCAGATTTAGCTTGAATAACTACAACTTCAACTTCTCCATTAATTAATTGAATAAAATTTAAATAAATAGCCAATAATGCCATTAAACGTAATTTATTCAATCTTCTGTTTCTTTTTAATGTTTTATTATTTTTAACTTTACTTCTATTATTCAATAATAATTTTTTAGTTATATCTTTTTGTCTATTTTTCTTTTGTGCAAAAAATATTTCCATCGGCATTTTAACAATATTCCAAATTATTCTTAATAATTTTCCGAAAATTAACAAGAGTTTACAGGCAAATATTGCTATAGAGAGAATAATAGTCAAAATAAATCCCGTTACAATACCAATCAGTAGTAAGCTTTCTAATGATTCACATT